GCCAACTGGCTGCCTAGAGACGGTCATGACAACCTGAGCTGTTACTGTACATTTATTTGATAACGTAAAAATGCATGTACGTGTAGCTCATGAAAATGCCACACCCATACCAACATAGACTTTAATAAACCCAATGCCCATAGCTTACATTACTGATTATAATTATGAAAAACTTATGTAAACTTACACATAATACTTCTATATAAAGTGAAATATAAATAACATCATATTAAATGCATAAATTTCACACAAGCTACATATAATATCAAACCATGCCTTCACTCTGCCAGTAAGTAATGAATGACCGCGCAGAGCACATGCGACATTGCCTTTTATACAGTTGACCACATGACTAATTGAACAGATGTTACCTAATTGAGCTGTGTTAGTAGTTTCTTCTCTAATACAATCTAAATAAACATAAGAACATTGTGGAAAAAATTAAAATAATAACTATATATGTAATTTCTACCGTATCGACAACTGTTTGACAACAAATAATAGCATGGAAAACTGTATATTTTGAATGAATAAAGACGTCATTTCTCACCAGTATCCCTTCTTTCTTTTTTATCCATAAAGGATAGCTAATAGATTTGCAAGTAATGCAATGTATTTGACTACAAATTTTGTATGAAAGTTTCTAAAAAAAGAAAGAAAGATAGAAGACAAATTCATTACCAAGCCCAACCTGGTGCAGTGATATTGAGGGATTCTAATTTACTTAACTGATTAGATTTTTTAAATTTATTATTATTATTATTATTAATTAATTAATTAATTAATTAATTAATTAATTAATTAATTAATTTATTTATTTATTTATTTATTTATTTATTTATATTTTATTTATTTATTTATTTATTTTATTTTATTTTTTTGCACAGTAAAATATTGACTGAAGAAAACTGCCTTGCCTGTGCAAATAAAGAGATCGACTAGGCATTTATCTAAAACTTTGTTTTAGGTTTCCCAAATTGATTATCGCCAAGATTAAAATACCTGCAAATGTACGTAAACAGCGATCGAGTTGGGTTCGTCTTGGGGCATGCTTGACGTCAAAGCCTGGATTTTGTGCGGCTTTGATTACAAAAATTGCTGAAACGTTTCCTTCCAAGGATATATTTTTATGATTTTTAATACATACAGTGGTGGTTGAAAAATAGGAATTGCCCTCACATTCTTGAGTTGAGGGATAGTGGCCAAAGTTACGATGTTGTCAAGGTCAAATATTGTCACTCTGGGCGACTTCGATGAACATATAGGCCCTACTGTTAAGGCGGAGTAATATGTCGTTTTGCAACAGTCAGGCATGGTAATCAACCAGAAAACGGACGAGGACCATTCAGCTATGTACATCCCGGGTCTCATAGTTAAGAACTGTAAAGAGTATGTCTATTCAGGTGCTATATTTACTCAGGATGGAAAGGCGTCTTCAGCAGTTGAAAGGCATGTCATTGATTAAAAGCCAAACATTATGACTTTTGTATCATTTCTTGGTAAAAAACGTGATTTCCCATTTGTAGTTAAACGGCGGGTTAAGGATTTTTTTTTCGATTTTAAGATCTTTTCAGTAAATTCTGTGGATGTGAAGCTTGGGTAAATAAAAGTTCCAACCTAGAACAGGTCACTTACAGGTCACTGGTTAAGTCTGCTTGAGTAACAATACCTAACAATTTATGTTTAGTTGAGCTAGGTTAATGTAGTGCAGAAGCCCTCGTGAAAACCGACCAGCATAAATTCATGGTAAAGGCTCTCGAACAACGAGAGGAGATGCATGACGGCCCATTTTTAAAAACATGGACTACCTATAAACAGGCCAATATACGAACGCATTCAAATACCTTTATGGTATTTTGCAGCACAATAATTATGGGGAATCTGACTTATTGAACTGTAAAGAAAGGGTGCGTGTGTTTCAAAATTGTAAGGCTGTATTGTATAGAGAGTTCAATCGGGGTCTATCAGAGATATTTATACTGATATGGACAACAGGATCGAGGTTTGAGAGAATTATTATAACCCGCGGCACAGGTTGTCATCACACGACCTGACAGTAGAGAAGGACCGCTGGTCTCACGTCCCCTTAGAGGATCGGAAACGTATCTGTGGTACCGGTGAAATGCAAACAGTAGAACATGTTTTGTGTTTTTGCCCTATGGCAAGTTCAATACGCAAGAAATATCCTGCGTTAGATTTTAGCTCGGTAGAAAATATTTGGAGAGGCGGGCCTACGTACGATTTGTGTCATTTGATTTATGCTGTAAACTTTTTATTTTCCTAACGTTAACATCATGTTATCGTTTTATTAACATATATAAAATTAATATCTGTTATTAAAGACTCGACCAACATGAGTATAATTATGAATTTGTCTTTGCTACGCAGATTGTATATATATATATTATGTATATTCTGGGCTTGTACGTTCTGGTCACGTTTGAATAAATAAATTATCTATCTATCGCTTTTTTTTTTTCGCACCATTGCTTTACGTTATTCTTCAAAGGCGAGAGCACGAGAGCGTTACCATCAGTTTTTAAATTATTCAAGCAGTTGCTTTGTTTTATAACGTTAATGATACCTGGTACATTTTAAATAAATACAAAAAAGAAAGTACCCAAAATAGTCACAAACAACAATGATGGTACTTTCGCTCATATGTGAAGATATTTGATTTAACGGATATAAATAAGAGGACACCACTTGAACAACTTGTATGTTGTGTCTCTTGGAAACCACGACAACAATCATCGTGTTTTCATAGATTGACAATCATAACCTTTTAAATATTTTGAATTATGTTTATGAAGTAGCTCTTACCTGTAAGTCCTGTATGCTACATTCAATCCCTGAAAACACATTAAAGAAGAAAGAAAGAATGGCGGACACAAAACTTGCCCAGGAGAATTATGGCGAAGAGGAAAACAATGATGACGAAAGGTAAAAATGCCGGCCGGGGTCAACCGCCTGGTCCCAAGCATTCCCTAATGAGAGATAGTGTGTAGCAATATTTCTAATTAGTTTTTGTGGGAACAATGATGACAATGGATACACATGTAACGATGACGATAGGTAAAATGCAAGCCAACTAGTTAAAATTCTAATTTCAAGAGGGGAATATTGGCGTGATATATTTTTCAGAAACCGAAGGGGGAGGGGGCAGTGCCCCCCCCCCCCCCGAAAACCCCTTCTCTAAATCAGCCACTGATTTCAAAGCTATGATAACACTCTTCCTCGGTTTGTATGCCCCTTTAAATATTTCTATTTAGCCTTGTTTCACATTCAGCATCGGACAAAACATCCTTCCCTGATGCCTACTTGATTTTCACATATGCAAAATTTTCAAAAAAAAAAAAAAAAACACTTTACACATATTTAAAAAGTGAAATAATCAAATAATTATATTTTGTTTTGGTTTTTTAAATATCTCCTCAGACGGAGCATAGTTTTGGTGTTAAAATTGAACGTTTTGGAATTCCATGGCCATTTCACATCCTTCCCAGACACTTACAATTTTTTTCTATTTCTCCACACTTAAACTTTTTTTAATTCTTATTTTTGCCTAATATTATTCAAAAATAGAGGAATAAACATACCAAAAATGGGCCTCCCAACTTTATTTTACTTTTTTTTTTAAATTTATATTTGATGTGTCAAATATTTCTCCAAAACGACCCAAACATACCACGGAATGGCCCAATTCCTAAATAATTTATCTGAATAGCAGTGACATTGGTGCTTTATTTTTTTGTCCGAGTGGAGTTTAACAAACATTCTACAGGAAATTGAATTGAACTTACGGTCACACAGACAAGGAAGTACAAAATATGGATTCTGTCAGAGGGCGTGGCTTCATGAGAGACGGCATCTTGGTGATGACTTTCCATTTTCACTCCTCAGCTTTATTCTTTTCTGGCCTTCAAAGAAGAGAAATAACGTCATCCGTTTTTTTACTCATACATGTAAACAATCGCAATATTCACCTCATATTTTTTATTGAAAAACCAATGCCTTTATAGCCGTATTTGATATTCATGTACAGGATAAATATGATAACAGTCATTTTTGTACGGCATGATTAAGAATGGGTAAGACTTAAGATGCCTCTAATTTGAAACAAAAAAGCTTGAGTCTCAATAAGAGCCCCATTCCGGAAAACCACCGAGTAATGATACTTTCATAAGAATATTATTAATCAAACAGAATTTGCGATTTTGCAATGTAGCAGACTATGGTACCACCCTGCATTCACTTTTACTTAGTAATAAAGACACATTTTTGTTACAAAATGAGTACTATTTGGCAGAGAACATGCCTACTGTTCACAAATAGACTAAACAACGGGTTCGTCTTATGGCATGCGTGACGTCAAAGCCTGGATTTTGTACAAAAATTCCAGAAACATTTGCTTCCAAGGATATATTTTTATGATTTTTTATATACAAACAATAATGATTGAAAAATACGTAATCCCTTATCTTGAATTTCTCTCACATTCTTGAGTTGAGGGAAGCGACCAAATGAAGTTACGATTTTGGCAAGATCAAATTTTGTCGCTCTGGGCGACTTCGATGAACATATACTGTTCAGGCGGAGTGATATGTCGTTTTGCAACGAGTCAGGCTTATAAATGGTAATAAATGGCACGGACGAGGACCGTTCAGCTATGTAGGCATTCCGGGTCTATAGTTAAGAACTGTAAACAGAATGTCTATTCAGGTGCTATAGGCTATTTACACAAGATGGAAAGGCGTCTTCAACAGTTGAAAGGCATATCATAGATTTAAAGCCAAACATTATGAATTTTGTATCATTTCTTGATAAAAAATGTGATTTCCAATTTGTAGTTAAATGGTGGTTTAAGTAGGCGACTATTTTTCCAGTATATTATTTGGATGTGAAGCGTTATATGATAGTAGGCCTACCAACTTACCGGTAGAACAGGTTATGATTACTTACAGGTCATTGGTTAAGTCTGCTTTGTGTAAGAATGACAATATGAGCTAGGTTAATGTAATGCAGAATCACTCGTGAAAACTTACCAGCTACCTGCAAGTCCGGTAGGATACATTTAATCCACGAAAACACATCATTGAAGAAGAAAGAAAGAATGGCGGACACAGAACTTACCGAGCAGACCGGAGCACAGTATGACGCGGCCCAGGAGAAATATGGCGGAGAGGAAAACAATGATGACGATAGGTAAAAATGCCGGCCGAGGTCAACCGCCTGGTCCCACGCATTCTCTAATGAGAGATACGTGTGTAGCAATTTCTAATTAGTTTTTGTGGCATGATAAAGAGTGGGTAAGACTTAAGATGCCTCTAATTTGAAACAAAAAAGCTTGAGTCTAAATAAGATCCCCATTCCGGAAAACCACCGAGTAATGATACTTTCATAAGAATATTATTAATCAAACAGAATTTGCGATTTTGCAATGTAGCAGACTATGGTACCACCCTGCATTCACTTTTACTTAGTAATAAAGAAACATTTTTGTTACAAAATGAGTACTATTTGCCGGAGAACATGCCTACTGTTCACAAATAGACTAAACAACGGGTTCGTCTTACGGCATGCGTGACGTCAAAGCCTGGATTTTGTACAAAAATTCCAGAAACATTTGCTTCCAAGGATATATTTTTATGATTTTTTATATACAAACAATAATGATTGAAAAATACGTAATCCCTTATCTTGAATTTCTCTCACATTCTTGAGTTGAGGGAAGTGACCAAATGAAGTTACGATTTTGGCAAGATCAAATTTTGTCGCTCTGGGCGACTTCGATGAACATATACTGTTCAGGCGGAGTGATATGTCGTTTTGCAACGAGTCAGGCTTGGTAAACCAGAAAAAAAAATCGAACCTAATGGTAATAAATGGCACGGACGAGGACCGTTCAGGTATGTTCATTCCGGGTCTATAGTTAAGAACTGTAAACAGAATGTCTATTCAGGTGCTATATTTACACAAGATGGAAAGGCGTCTTCAACAGTTGAAAGGCATATCATAGATTTAAAGCCAAACATTATGAATTTTGTATCATTTCTTGATAAAAAATGTGATTTCCAATTTGTAGTTAAATGGTGGTTTAAGTAGGCGACTATTTTTCCAGTATATTATTTGGATGTGAAGCGTTATATGATAGTAGGCCTACCAACCTACCGGTAGAACAGGTTATGATTACTTACATGTCATTGGTTAAGTCTGCTTTGTGTAAGAATGACAATATGAGCTAGGTTAATGTAGTGCAGAAGCACTCGTGAAAACTTACCAGCTACCTGCAAGTCCGGTAGGATACATTTAATCCACGAAAACACATCATTGAAGAAGAAAGAAAGAATGGCGGACACAGAACTTACCGAGCAGACCGGAGCACAGTATGACGCGGCCCAGGAGAAATATGGCGGAGAGGAAAACAATGATGACGATAGGTAAAATGCCGGCCGAGGTCAACCGCCTGGTCCCACGCATTCTCTAATGAGAGATACGTGTGTAGCAATTTCTAATTAGTTTTTGTGGGAACAATGATGACGATGGATACACATGTAACGTTCATGATAGGTAAAAAATGGAAGTCAGCTTGTCAAAATTCTATTCAAGAGGAGAATATTGGTGTGATATATTTTTCAGAAACCAAAGTACCTAGATCACAATGATTGGTTAGTTAGTTGCCTTACTAAAGTATTTGAATAGCAGAAACAAAGATCAAGTAATACTTTGACATTTGCTTCTGTTTCAGAAAATTATTTGTGGGAGGTCTTAGTCTGAAAGCAACAACTGGTAAGTGTTTAAAATGTGTACGAAGTGAAATTACACAATCTCTAACATGTATTTACTTTTGACACCAATATCTTATACAATACATTTTTTTTTATTAACCACCAGCTTTTTTTAACTTTACTTTTTTCCATTTTTTTAGAAGATCTACGTGACTATTTTGGAAAATTTGGTGAAGTAGCCGACTGCACAGTGAAGACAGATGTTTATTCAGGCAGATCAAGGGGATTTGGTTCTGTCGTTTTCAAGGATAGTTCTGGTATGGAAGCTGTAAGTATTTTGGCTTGATATTCAGATCATCATTGTTGAATATTCTATAGAATGCAAATAAAAATTACTGTCATTATGATTTTCAAGGTGAAATTTGATTAAAAAGGCAAAAAAAAAATAGAATGCTGAAAAGAAGAGGAACCATATAGTAGAATTAAAATTTGTAATATACTGCATTAATTAAACTTTTGAAACATTTCTGTTATAATCACATTGCAGGTATTAAGTTACAAGGAAGATCATGTTATACAAGGTAAAACCATAGAAGCAAAGAGAGCTGTGCCTGAGAGTGGCAGTGATTCGTATTCAAGGAAGAAGATATTTGTTGGTGGATTATCTCAAAATATCTCAAAAGAAGATTTAAGGGTATACTTTTCAGAGTTTGGAAAGGTACTAAAGAAAATATATGTATTGGTTTCCATTATAAGATAAAGAAATACTAAAGGTTGACGTGCGGTACGGATCTTGTACATGTATGTATCAACAATTAAATCAACATATAGATATATGTCAATATATAGATATATTGTTCCTGGTTCTTTATTCCAAAAATTGCGAAGAAATTCACAATATTGTAAGTTAACATAGTTTTTTTATATATATACAGATACTTATAGTTTGTATATATTCTGATTTGTCTGTCTGTCCGTGTTGTCGCCATCGATGTCGCTACACGACACATGATATTTGGCCCATAAGTGACAAACCGCATTTTTGTCTATCTTGAAATAAACTGAGTGGTTTTTAAGTTTCAGAGGCAGGTTGCTGTCAAAAATGGGCATTATCAGTATACATTCACGGTTACTATTCTGCTTTTTTGCTCAATTTTGGTTATCTGCAGTACATAAAGTAAGAGGTTAAGAGTAATTATACGGTTTTAAAACATTATCCAAAATTGTCCAAAAAATTATTTGTTGCACTCTTTCTGCATAATGTCTGAACAATTTGTCAGCTTTGCTTCCTCGTTACATATATGCTATCTGCATATTTGCCAGCTTTGGTGTCTAGTTAATCTAATCTTTCCACAGTTAGATGTCACAGTTATTGTAATATATATATATTTATTTATTTTTACAGGTTGAGGACATTTTTCTTCCATTAGACAGTTCGACGGGCGAAGGAAAAGGTTTTTGTTTCATTACATTTGAGAGTGCTGAGGTCGTTGACAAAATATTAGAAAATCCCAGTGCGACCATTGGCGGGAAAGTGGTAAAATATACGATTTTGTTACAATATATCTTATACATATACTTATATTTTATACATGTAGGCCTACATATATATAAATGTTTTCTCTGTTATAATTTGAAGCGTAAGTTTTGTTTGATTGTTCAAGCGGAAGAACAACTTCATCTTTGTCTTATATTTTTTTTTAATTAGGGGCTTTTTGTTGATGTTCGAGGAGTATGTGAGCTATTTGAATGGGGTGGTTGGTATTTTAAGCCATACACAGATAAACACCAAATAATGACCCAACATTCTGTTCCAATTATTTACGCTGCAGTCGCCATAAAATGGAGGCCCTAGTACTCATTTTTCAAGGAATCAGTGTGAGGTAGTAAGCATGAAATCAACAGTTCTGTACTGTGGGCCCCTAATCAGAGTATCTTCTATGTAGGAGTCCACTGAAATCATAATTTCTATGACCAGCTGTCTAGGTTTCCTGCTAATTCCTGTCATTGCATAAAGCACAATTTGCATTGGTCAGCAAGTGGTTGAAGTCGGATAAGTAAAGCCGCGTTTACAGGTAAATGTTATGAGGGGTGGATGCCTGCATAGTTCATATTTGTTTCTAAGACCAATATCTCTTGATCCGCCCATGAAATTGTGAGTTTTTATTTTACTTTTAGGTTGATGTGAAGCGTAGCAAGGCCAATGAGGAACGTAGAGGAGGAGGTAGAGGAGGATTTAGAGGATATGGAGGCAGGGGAAGAGGACGTGGTGGACGGGATGGTAAGGAATCTCTGGAGCTTTTTGTGGAACTAGTCTCTAGCGCTTGAATGTATAGATCAACAATCAGCTTAAATGAACCACATATTTAAAAAAAAATTTTAAAAAAATTATGCAAGTTTGTTAAAAGCAGTGTCTAACGAAGGTCTCATATAAAGTATACGTTGAAATGAATAACCCAGAGAGTTGTATATAGGTGGTAATCTCATGATACCGTATTAGGCATATTGTTACATATACATATTTTTTTCTCCAGATAATGGTGGTGGCTATGGTGGATACAACCAGGGCTATGAGCCTAACCAGGGCTATGGTGGATACAACCAGGGCTATGGTGGATATAACCAATATGGTGGCGCAAACAACAACCGGGGCTTTGGTGGAAATACCCCATATCGTGGCGCAAACAACAACCGGGGCTTTGGTGGATATACCCCATATTAGTGGCGCAAACTACAACCAGGGCTATGGTGGATACGGAGGCATGGTCAGTTTACATATTAAGTCAGCTCATGTAACATTCATATATATATATATATATATATATATTGATATTGTTGTAGAGAATATCGTTATGGAGTGTGAATGTTATCTTTTTCAGGTACAGTATTCAGAATCTTTTTCGTGTAGCTTATGTCAGAAGGATCCATTTAAATGTTTACATTACATAATGCATTTTCACTGTCTTAACGTTTTCCTCTCTTTCAGAATGAAGAGAAGTAGGTGACAAAAAGGTTGGATGGGATGCAGTAAAAGTGAACGGTGGTTTCAGTTCTGTGCGTTTCAGCAGCCTGTAGTCGATGACTTTATCTCTATTAGATGTGAACATTTTTGTCTCAGCTTGTTTTCATTTTGACAGAATACATTTAACATACCATCAAAATGACAAGGAAATGACTGGAAGTATCTGCATTCAAGTCATTCTGCATCAAGCATTTACGTTTTTTCTTCACGTTTTGCACAAACTTCTAGCAAAGATTAGTAAAATCTATTTCAAATCTAGTGTTTGAACACTGTGATCCTAAAGTAGCGATTGATTTAATTATAGCAATTGATTTTATTTATTAATATTTTTTAATGCTGTATAAATTGGTCTTTGCTTTTTAACAAATTTCATACACTGTTGCTGAGAAGAGACAGTACGACGAAGTAACGGTAAAGGGATGTATGCTTTAAAATTGACTTTATTATTAACATTAACTTTAAGAAACGATTGAGAAGACTGATGTCAATATGGCACTAATAAGCCATGCAGGAGAAGAGGACAGAAGTTTGTTCTTTTGAAACTTGGTTTCTTAAAAACACGTTTGTTTGTGGAAGGTAACAAGAATACGCTTCTCTGGAACTGGTGTTTCTACTAATCAAATGGAAGACTTTTTCTAATAAAATTAGAATAAAACTGCATATTTTTTCGTCATTTCAAGTAAATCTATCCTTCTGCATCACTAATTGTACCACCAGCGAGGCGCTGGCAGTACACATGGTTTCTGTCCCGACCCGTCTCGTCCCCTGTATCCGCCACCATTGCATTACCGCTTCTCCTCATAGACTACAAGTCCCTTATATCTCCCATACTGGTAGAGATATGCCCACAGTTACTACTGAACTAGAATAGGAACTCATATATTGACAGTATTCCTTGAATTTGACCTTTGACCTACTTTTCATCATGAACTGCACTTCGCAAATTTCCAACCTCTTTTATGCTATTGAACTTGGATGGAAGTCCTATATTCATAATCTTACTACAACGTTAGATTTGAGCTTTTTCTTTCCCCATGATTTTTCTTTCTCTATGATTTTCTTATAAATTGTTATTTTTGAGAACTCTTGTTTACTGCATTTTGTAGGTCTTGTCAAGCCCTATATTCACAATCTTACTGTAACCTTGGATTTGATCTTTATACTGTTCCCCATGATTTTGTTATTAACAATCTTGAATAAAAAAGGGGAACTCTTATTTACTGCATTTTGTAGAGCTTGTCAGGTACAACACTGGAGGTGGGGTCCCTTTGTTTGTTTTCTGTACGAATGCGCTTATTCCAGCTGGTGGTACAATACCCGGAGGCGGTATTGTCTCTCTGATCCTCTAGTTATTAATGTGTTGAGTTGATTTTAAAATAACTATTACTAGTCTGTATATACGTTTTATACATTTTCTGACTGGATTGTACTTATTTATATAATGACTATAAACTTACGACGGAAAAGAAAAAAATCTTGATCAAAATCGTCCTCGAACATGATCGTTACAGGTATGGAGAGCCCTTTCTTTGGATGTACATTACTGCACAAAGCCACTGGTTATTGATTTTGCAAGAAACAAAAGAAAAACTTCCTTGAAGTTCCACGATGTCTCAGTAACTGTCTTCTTATGAAAACTAAGAAACTATCGCAGACTTTTGGGTTTTTTAGAATATGTATTTATGGGCTAGTTACATGCGAATCAAAGTAATTGCTCCATCGGAATATCTGATTCTGTTTTGGCTTAGGAGGAACCGGGAGCTGAAACATCTTGACATTCCCAATTTCTTCCAAGACTACCAACCGAAGCAAATCGTGATTCAGACACACCAGCTGAGGTCTTTCCAAATCTGCCTCAGCAGGGATGAGGACCTCGTATGAATAGCTCAAGCGTTTGCTGTTGTTCTGTTTCTTCAATTTCACGATCCTGTTGTTCCCCTTGTCGGCGACGTAAATGTTGCCCGCGCGATCGGAACAAACGCCGGAAGGGTTGTTAAACTGATTGGCACCGTCCCCAGCGTCTGATCCGACTTTCCATTCTCTTCGGCCATCACATTCGTATACATGCACGGCGTGGCCCGCCTGGGCAGTACACAGGATTATATTACCGTCAAAGTCTTTGATCACTTGATTAGCGCGAGCCATGTTGCGTGCTACGTGCACAGGCAGAGTCCGTCTTTTGATTCTTCTTCCCTTGAAATTGTATATATCTAATTTCGTCCCTCGCAGTATGAAAGGGCAGTTTTGCGTACTTAAGGTCACCAGAACCCCGGCGTCCTCTCTGTGGGAACCCCTCCTCTCTGTCAGAATGTGACCTTTCTTGTATCCATCCTCGTCATAAATGGTTATCCACCAGTCTTTGTAAGTGACAGGATAAAGTTTGTGGCCGTACCTAGCCAGGCGGCTGCTTTGAGTATCAACGTAGAATCTTTCAAGGAGGCGCCCACCGCTACAGTACAAAGCCGTCCGTCCGTGCAAGATCACAACCTGGCCTTCGGGGGTCACTTGGATTTCATGAGGCGGGTATTCTGTACTTTGTAAACTTACAGTAAAAGTCGAGATGAGGCGGAGTTCGTTGTCGCCTGCAACTATTGGGAGAGGGACAAGTGATGGATCCAGAGACAAATTTCTGTCTAGGGGTTCTGGCGATTGCACAGGGAGAGGGCTTTCCCCCCGATGGTTTGCAGAATTAATTTGAATTTTACCCAAACCCTTGTACTCTGCCGTACGCACCTGTGAGCTAAGTTTGGCGGCAGGAGCAGGCACATTGCGGTATTCTACGGGAAGCCGTCTTGTAGAATGTTCGGGAATGTAAGACGTTATTGTTTGTGGCGCAAATGTAAGTTTATTCAAAGCACATGGTTTTGTTGAAACTGTCTCTTTACTTTCACAGGGCTCCACTGGGCTAGTATTGGGCCCTGAATTTGACATTGAAATTCTGTTCTCCGATACATGTGCCCTTCCCACTTCTGAAGCTTGTGCTTTAATTCTTGGCCGGTGGGAGTATGACAAAGATGGATTTGACATTTTCCGGGAAATTAAGCTGAACCTACGGTCACAAGGACAAGGAAATACAAGATCTGGATTCTGTTCATCACATTGTGATAAAGCAAACGGTACATTGCCCTTATCTGCACATTCTTTGACTAGATCCAAATCAGCTGTTCCCAGCTTTGCGTTTTCGCTTACAGAGGTATCCCGGAGACTCGTTATGGAGTCATACTTGAACATCTTATCAAATGATGCACGTGGTTCACTGAGATCTTCCTCAAATAAAAATTGTGAGTCTTTGTCCCGCTTCTTTGGGTTTTCTTTAACATGTGAAAGCATTCCCTCAGTGAGCGTTTTTAGTTCCCGCTCACATGTCGTGGTAGATTTAGGTGGCCGAATTACAAGTTCCTTATATTTTGGATAAATAGTGTGGAGCATGGCACTGTTTTCTCTCAACATTTCTCGGCTGCAAACGGCAGTGCGGCCTACCATCAGCACTTCGCCGGTAGCTGTCGCACTCTCCTCCTCCTCCGAGTGGGCAATTTCCAAGAGTTTATTACCGAGAAAGAATGAACGCAGTTGCCACAGGCCCCGGGGCGGGACACGTGTTCTGTACCTACACTCAGGGCAGGGAATCCAAGGGCGATTCTCTAGTCCTGCCTTTCGAAAATACTTGTCTAGGCAGGTCAGACAGAAAACATGGAGACAGTCCAAGACTTTGGGGTCCAACCACTCATCCAGGCAGATCCTGCACAATATGATTTCATTTTCAAGTAGTTTCCTAGCGAGCGTGGATTTCCCTTTTCGGGGGACAGAGGGCGTGGCTTCATGAGAGAAGGCAGGTTGGTGATAACTTTCCATTTTCACTCACCAGTTTTGTTTTCTGGCCTTCAAAGAAGAGAAATAACGTTATCCGTTTTTTCCTATTCATTAACAATCGCGCGATACTCACATTCAAATTTCAATTTAAACATGAATGCCTATGTAGCCATTTTTGACATACATGTACATGATAAATATGATACATGTATGAGTCATTTTTGTACGGCATGATAACGAGTGGATAAGATTTTCAAATCTTAAAAGATGACTCTTAATAAAAAATGTGTTTTGAAGTTTGAGTCCAAATATGAGCCCCATTATCATTATCAAAATCATAAAACCACCGAATAACGGCACTTTCACAAAAAATTATTATTAAAACGAAAATGTTGAATAAGTATCCGCAATTTTTTCCATCAATAAAACTACAAGCAAAATTAAGATGAAGATTTTTAACCAGAAATAACATCATATTTTTCCTGAAATCCTTTCTTTTTCTTTTGCGTTGCAGACTATAGTACCTCCCTGAATTTACTTTTACTTTGTTATAAAGAAACATTTTTGTTAAAAAAATCAGCACTATTTGCCAGAGAACATGCCTACTGTTCACAAATAGCTTATTCCACCTTTATCTAGAATTATAATGAAATGAGTAATTTCGCGGACAAACGGGCTTCTTTCTACTTACCTGCCTTTTTTAACTTGTGTTCGTTGACAACACGGCGCGTTTTGGTGCTGTTTTTTATCGTAAACAAAACGATTCGTTGTTGCTATTATGACGTATTGGTATTATGTCATAATATTATTGATTCTATGACGTAATATAAAAGACAGACGTTTTAGTAGTATGACGTATTGAGACTGACGTTTTGATACTATGACGTGCTGAAATAAAGACGCATTAGTGTTATGACGTATGGATTCTTTGCCCTATTGTGACGCATCAACAGCATGACGTTTTGAGACACAGGGAATCAGATTATGACGTCACTCACTCATAACCTATGGAATCAATCGGTGCCGCTATGTTCAAGATAGACCTTTCCTTCGTTTTGACCAAGCATGGTGGAAAAATGAAATAATTGTTGGTGAATTGTGCAGTTGTATTGGGAATGTTAAAGAGATGAAAAAATGTTATTGCCTTTCCTCAAGTTCGTCTGTTTTTCATTTGTTCTTAGATCGTTTGAATGCTTATAGTCTGTGCATGTAATATTGTCAGTAAGAAATCTTACGTTATGCGTCTTCCTAGCACATTGGGCACGTTCCAGAAGACGTTGCTGCCAACAAAGATTTTCAAAATTTCCATTTTTCAAGTGTTGCTTTTCAGTAACCAGCGCGTACGATGGTCAGGTAGCCTCTTCCTCCGTCCAGCCTCGTTTCGTCCCGCACAAGCGATTCTAGTTTTCGAGTCAGAATCTTTTTTGTAAAACGACCCTAAAGTTTCTGGTTGCCAGAATCGATTTTGAAATAAGAAACTGCATGGCATCTAGGCACAACCTCAGCGCCCCTACACGGACATAATTCCTTTGCCAAAAAATGCTTTTTAGATCTGAAATAAAATCTGGCAATAAAATCGGCATAAAAATATGAGTGCACTATTTCAGATTTTATCGCCTAAAGGGTAGACCATCTGTTTACTCTAGCCCATTAGTAATAATCTCTGGTGCAGATTAAAATTACACTAACCCAACCTGGGTTAGAATCGGTGAAGCAATAAGTTGAAAACCCCAGGTCGACTTAACCTGAACCTTTAGGTAACAAACAGCCTGATCAGGGAATATAATAAGCCGATAACAATGTCTTAACTAGGCAGGGCCCACCATCAATATCTCATGTT